CTTTATAAAAAGAGTTGTGTGCACTTTTCCTCTTGAAAAACCTTTTTATAAAAGAAATTTGCTTAATCTTTCATACCATTCTCTTGGAGCTTGCTTTAAACCATATAAGGCCTTTTGAGTTTAAAGACATGGTTAGGTAAATCAAGATCTTCAAAATCGGGAGGTTGATCAACATATACTTCTTCTTGAATATAACCATTTAAAAAGGCACTTTTAACATCCATTTGAAAGAGTTTAAAATCCATTATACATGCAAATGCAAGTAGTAATCTAATAACTTCTAATCTAGCAACGGCAGCATAAGTTTCATCATAATCAATACCTTCCTCTTGATTATATCCTTTAGCAACAAGTCTAGCTTTGTTTCTAGTTATTATGTCATTTTCATCAAGCTTGTTCCTAAAGACCCATTTGGTTCCAAGTATTGGATAATCATTTGGTTTTGGCACAAGTTCCCAAACTTGATTGGGGTGTCCTCTAGCTACTCTGCAATCTTGTGGTAGATTGTTTCCATCATTGGCTTGTTGACTTGGTGTTTCTTCATTGTTTGCTTCCTTTTCGTTTTGCCTTTCATCTTCCTCTTTGTCATTCAAGTTTATGTTTTCCATGCTTTCTATAACATCATCATCACAAAGTTTCTTTCTAGGCAAGACATTGTTAGTCTCATTAAATACAATATGAATAGACTCTTCAATGACCATTGTTCTTTTGTTATAGATTCTATAAGCTCTACTTGTAAGTGAATATCCTAGAAATATGCCTTCATCGGCTTTAGAGTCAAATTTGCTAAGGTTTTCTTTTCCATTATTTAAAACAAAACATTTGCAACCAAAGACATGAAAATATGAAATATTGGGTTTTTTTCCTCTGTAAAGTTCATAGGGATTTTTCTTTAAAATAGGTCTAATTAAAGCACGATTCATAACATAACACTCGGTGCCAACGGCTTCCGCCCAAAAATATTTTGGAAGATTATTTTCATTTAACATCGTTCTAGCAAGTTCTTCCAATACACGATTTTTGCTTTCTACAACTCCATTTTGTTGTGGAGTCCTATGAGCGGAAAAATTATGTTCAATACCGTTTTCTTCACAAAACATTTCAAATTCTTGATTTTCAAATTCTCCACCATGATCGGTTCTAATTGAAACAATATTTGAAGATTGTTCATTTTGAATAAGCTTGGCTAGTCTCTTGAATGATTTAAAAGCATCGCTTTTATATGTAAGAAATAAAGTCCAAGTATAGCGAGAATAATTATTCATAATGACCAAGGCATAGTAATTGCCACCAAAGCTCATGGTTCTAGTTGGTCCAAAAAGATCCATATGTAAAAGTTGTAAATGCTTTGTGGTAGAAACAATATTTTTTGATTTAAAAGAAGCCTTTACTTATTTTCCCATTTGACAAGCATCACAAACTTTATCTTTTTCAAATTTGAGCTTTGGTAACCCAATCACTAAGTCTAAGGATATCAATTTGCTCAATTGACTCATGCCAATGTGTGCTATTCTTCTATGCCATAACCAAGAGTTATCTTCCTTACTAATCAAACATTTATCGTCATTTGAAGGCATACTATCTAAGTCTATCATATAAATGTTATTCACTCTATGACCAAGAAATTAACTTGCCCATCAATTAGACTCTCAATTTTACAAGAGGTTGAGTAAAAAATAATTTTATAATTTTTATCACATAATTGACTAATGCTAAGCAAGTTATGTCTAAGGCCCTCAAAAGGCAAAACATTTTCTATAGAAATGGAGGAGGAGTTACCAACTTTTCCAATACCGAGAATCTTTCCTTTGTTGTTATCTCCATAGGAAACGTGTCCAAGCTCTTTCTTGGTGAATGATTGGAACTTAGTTACATCTCCCGTCATGTGACTTAAGCAACCACTATCCAAGTACCATTTAGAGCTTTTAGCCTTCAAGCAAACCTACATCACAAAGTCAAGATTTAATCTTTGGTACCCAAACCTTGTTGGGTCCTTGTGTGTTAGTCTTGGGCTTAGTTCCCTTAGGAACCCACACTTTCTTTTGCCCAATAATACCATTCTTTCTAACTTTACATGTGGATGCACTATGACCTTTTCCACCACAATGAAAACATTTAATGAATGGACTACTTGTCATGTAGGATGGAGAAATGAAAAAGTTTTTATATGATTTTTCTTGTGTGCTAGTGTCAAAGCCTAAACCGGATTTGTTGAACATGCATCTTTGTTTACCAAGCAACATATTTAAGTTATCTCTTCCATATGTGAATTTGCTTAGAATTTCATTTAAATCATCAATTTCATTGTTTAGATTTTTACATGAAGTACATGATGATGAAGATGCATGATCATTTGAAGATAGGAATTTGATACAACTAGTGCTAGCATCAAGTAATTTGAGAGTTTCATTTTCATCTTTCAAATCTTTCACTTCCTTTTCTAAAGATGCAATTTGTTTTTCCAAAGAACTAATAGTTTTCCTTGATGCTCTAAGAGTTTTAACATGTTTTAGTGTTTCATTATGCATTTCTTCAAACATGTCAGACAACTCATCATATGAAGGGGAAAGAGTAGAGCAAGATGAGTTTACCTCGGTTTCGGATTCATTTTTGTCCTCATTTGCCATGAGACATATATGTTGAGTTCCTTTGCTTGATTTCTCTGGTGGTCTCCCATCTTGCATGAAGCATAGGTTTGCTTCTTCCTTGGAGTCATCATCGGAAGAACTAGATTCGTCATCCCAAGCAAGATAAGCCTTCTTGAAGTTCCTTCTATCCTTGCTTTGCTTCTTTTCATATTTGTCTTTCTTTTGAATATTTGGACAGTCTGATTTGTAGTGACCGGTTTTTCCACATTCATAGCAAGTGATGGTGAGTTGTGAGGATCCTTCATCTTTAGATCTTCTTCTAGGAGGAAATGCAGATTTCTTTGAAAAATTCTTCTTAAAGAATTTTCCATACTTCTTTACGAAGAGGCTCATCTCATCTTCGTCAAGACCATTTTCGGAATCTCCATCTTCTTTTTCCTCATCCTTCTCTTTGCTTGGTGTTGAGGCCTTCAAGGTAATTCCCTTACTTTTCTTGATGGTTTGTTCCTTCAAGGTTATTCTGGTTAGCTCCATTTCATATTCTTGGAGCTTGCCGAACAAGGTTGCAAGATCCATGGTTTTCAAATCTTTTGATTCCATAATAGCCGTCAACTTGGGTTGTCATTCCCTATTATGCACACTTCTCATCACCTTAGCAATTAACTCAAGGTTAGTAAAAGATTTATCCAAAGCATTTATATGAGTGACAAGGTGTGTGAATCTTTTTTGCATACTTTGAATACTTTCATTTTCAAGAATTTCAAACATTTCAAATTCTCTAGTGAGTGCATTTAATTTTGTAAATTTAACATCACTAGTTCCTTCATGGGTTATTTGAAGAATATCCCACATTTCCTTAGCATTCTTACAATTTGAAACACGAAAGTATTCATCACGACCTAAGGCATTTGTAATCAAGTTTTGAGCTCTAGCATTCCAATTTCCTTTCTTAATTTCATCTTCGGTGTAATTATCTATATCTTTAGGAATATCTTCATCTTTCTCATTTTTTATAGTAGGTGGTGTATACCCTTTTTCAACTATACTCTATACTCTTAAATCATTAGATTGAAGAAATATTTTCATTCGACTCTTCCAATAGGAATAATCGACGCCATTGAAAAAAGGAGGTCTAGTACTAGAAGATCCCTCAAGGGGCATATCATGGTTCAAAGAAGCCATCCCTTCTCTTGAAGCGGTTAAGCTCTTTATACAAGAGTTCAAGCTCTGATACCACTTGTTGGACAAGTAGCTTCAATACTCAAGAGGGGGGTGAATTGAGTTTTACAAATTCTTTTCGCAAAGTGCCTCCTTTGAAATTTTAAAGACTATTTCTTCAATAAAGTGATTTAATAAGGAAAAATCTAAGTGTGAGAGCAAGTGTAGAGATTAACAAAGTAAGCAAGCGAATAAATAAAGACTATCTAAAGATGCAATTTCAATAATAAAGTAAAGAGGTAAAGGTTAGAGAATTTGCAAACTAGATGTATCCTGGTTCAGTCACCACCACCGTGACCTACGTCCAGACTGAAGCCGCTCGATCAATTCTTTTCACTAACTATCAAGCTTGAGGGTGCTTGACAAACCTCTACAATCTTTCAAGACTTCAGGCTTTTGATGCCTCACAATTTTTCACTCCAAATTTACTTAGAAATTTGGTAACCTCTCAAGTATAGGGTTCACTCCCCTCTCAAATCAAGAAGTAATATTGAGGTGATTAGAAGTGGCTAAGTACTCTCAAAGTACAGATTGAACAAATTGAAGAACTAAGAGATGTATAACTTCAAAGAAAAGATGAGCTCAAGTGTATGCAATGATCAAAGAAAGTAATTAATGAACAATAAAAGGCTAGCAAGAGTAATAAAGCATCAATAAATGATCTAGGGTCGTGTACTGTTCATCCCAGCCGATGTGGGTATTTATAATGACACCTCCTAAGAAAACTAGCCGTTTATAGCCGTTGTAATCCGTACATATCCGGATATTTATCGGGCACATATCCGGATATTGGATATCCGGATATTTTTGGTTCCATATCCGGATATTTAATATCCAAATATTTTTGTTACATATCCGGATATTGGATATCTGGATATTCTAAGTGAAATATCCGGATATTTCATGGCAGCATCCTTTTTGTACGAATTCTGAGTTTCTTCTCTTTCCAAATGATTTTTATGACTTGTAATGCATGTTATTGGTTATGGAAATTATCTAGAAAAGTTTGTATCACGTAGGTACTTCTTCCAAACCAATATTGTACATATGAAGCCATTTGTCTTGATTTTTCTTTTAAGGATGCATGCTTTTGAAATATATGAGTGATGAATGACCTTGAGCTCATGCAATGCTTTGTATCTATACATCTTTACATATTTTTCTTAAGTCCTAAATAAATATAAAAATTGAGATTTTGGACTTGGATTGATGCTTGAGACTTGGTGCATGCTTTCACATTTGCTTTTTGGATATTGCTTTGTCTTTGAATCATTCCTCTTTGTTATCATCAAAACGTTGTTGACGTGGAATCATCAAGTGTACGTTGTATCCACATCATCACTTTGATTCATCAACAAGGAGTTTGAATCATTCATGACTGATCATAAGTTTGAGAAGACAGAAGTTGACACTGCGTATTTGTGAAGAGGTATGAGGCCAGAGATTTTTTGATCTTGTTGTTATATGTTAACGACATGCTTATTGTAGGGAAAGACAAATCGAGGATAGCCGCCCTGAAAAAGGCGTTGAGCTCGTCCTTTGCAATGAAGGACCTCGGCCCTGCAAAGCAGATTCTCGGAATCAAGATCATCCGAGATAGATAGAAGAAGCTACTGTGGCTGAGTCAAGAGAAATATATTGAGAAGATACTAAAGAGATTCAGCATGGACAAAGCCAAAATAGTGAGCACCCCCTTTACCGGACACATAAAGCTGAACCAGAAGCAATGTCCGAGATCTGATGAAGACAAAGATGAGATGATGAAGGTCCCGTACCAATCCGCCTTCAGAAGCTTGATGTATGTAATGGTTTGCACTAGACCCGACTTGGTGTATGCTGTTGGAATGGTAAGCCGGTATTTGTCAAATCCCGGCAAAGAGCACTGGGAAGCAGTGAAGTGGATCTTCAAGTACCTCCGAGGTACAACCGACTTATGTCTCAGATTTGGAGAAGGCAAAGCCGAGTTGCAAGGCTAATCGGATTCTGATTTAGGGGGAGACGCCGACTCAAGGAAGTCGACTATAGGATATTTGATGAGATTTGCCGGAGGAGCTGTCTCTTGGCAATCAAGACTTCAGAAATGTGTTGCACTATCGACAACTGAGGCTGAGTACATTGCCGCTACTGAGGCAAGCAAAGAGATGCTGGGGATGAAGAAGTTCCTCATGGAACTCGGCCATGATCAAAACAAGTACGAGCTGGGTTGTGACAATTAAAGCGCAATCCATCTTGCGAAGAATTCGACCTATCACTCCCGCACTAAGCATATTGATGTGAGGTATCACTGGATCCGGGATGTGGTGGAAGGTGGAGAGCTCGAACTCGTCAAAGTGCATACTGACCAAAATTGGTACGACATGATGACGAAGCCAGTTCCAGCAAGGAAATTTGAAGACTGCTGTGAAGGAGCCGGGTTGATGCTGAAGCCGACGCATTGAAGTCGGATGGGGAGATTTGTTGGGCTTCCTCCTTCAATGCTAAGCCTAAGCCCATTAAGGGGTTTTCTAAAAACCCTAACCCTAGATCTCACCTCCTCTATATATTCATTAGTTGTAGGTGGAGACTAGGTTAAGAAATTTGAGAGAATTATTTGAGAGGTTTGAGCAAAGCTTTATGCTTTGCATTTGAGAGATCTCTAGAGAGAGTTTGAGTGAAACATCTCTAGGGTAGTTTGATTATCACCATTGTTGGAGAGGTTGAGTTAACCACCACATTGGTGTATTTGATTCTTTGTAACCATTATTTTCATAGTGGATTTTTGATCCGGACTAGGTCCCGTGGGTTTTTACTTCTTCATTAGAGAAGGTTTTCCCACGTTAAATCTGGTTGTGTTCTTCTTCTTCTTCTCTCTCTCTCTCTCTCTCTCTCTCTCTCTCTCTCTCTCTCTCTCTCTCTCTCTCCCGTTTTGTGTTTTTCGTTTTGATTTTTCCGCTGCGCTGCCCGACCTGGTGAAGTTCAGGCCGAGGTATTGCCGAGATGCGAGATCAGGATCTTGTTGATTGACTTCCGCAGAAAGGCTGCTTAGCCGAGCTTGAGGGAACCGAGTTCCAACAAAAGAAACCGATCTAATCTCATCAGACAAACAGTTGATCTTCTCGAAGTAATTATCAAATAAGTGACTATGTATTTCCCGATATTTTGTTTCATTGCTGACCTTTGGTTCAATGTCATTATAAAGTTTCGTTTATGATTAAAAAGAGAGTAAATATCATTTTTGGTCCTCAGCAAATTTCACGATACCCGCTTTAGTCCCTAGCAAATAAAAAGGCTCATTGTCGTCACTAAGAAATTCAAAATGGACTCATTTAGTTGAAATCCTGGTCCCTCACAAATTCAAAAAAGACCCATATTAGTCCCTCAAAAGGACTAAAATGGGTCCATTTTGAATTTCTTAGGGACCACGATCGGCCTTTTTATTTGCTAGGGACTAAAGCGGGTATCGTGAAATTTGCTGTGGACTAAAAAAGGTATTTACTCTTAAAAAGAAAAGAAGTAGTCTGCGATCACATAAATACTAATATGTCCTTTTCCTGATGAAATGACAGGGCTATGGCAATCAGTCAATTTAGAACGTTAAATGATTCGATTAAATTAATTCTGCGACTCCTTATGGTCTCATTAGGGGTGTAAATGGGTCGGGCTGGGCTGGGCTTTGGCCTTCCTGGCCCAAGCCTACGTAAAAAAAAATTTAGCCTATCTGGCCTACTGGCCTATCAAAGGCTTTATTTGTAGGCCAAGCCTGACCTATTTTTAAAAATAAGAAAGTCCGACATGGCCTACAGGCCTTGTAGGCCTACCATTGTAGATACTAAGCAAAGAAAATAATTGTATAGAGCAAAGAAAGTTTCATTCATGAATGCACTAGTACTTTTCATAAGAAAAAAATAACAAACAAGAAAGAGTCAACATAATACCCCAGCTTTAGAATGTATATCATAGAGGAATAAAGTCAAAGAAATGGGAAAAATAAGAAAAATACAATTATTGGGTGCTGAAATAAAGTCTACAAGAGAATGTCATTCATCTAAAAATTAGGGTTGGCATTGGTACTTTGCCATGCCACATAAAATAAATATTATTTTATTATTTATTTTAATAAATTAAATAAGTCAGCCTACAAGGCTTTGGGCCAGGCTTAACAAAAATGGCCTACGGCCTATTTGTTAAAAAAGCTTTCGTAAAAGTCTAAGCTTACTCTACTTTTCTGAAAGGCCGAGCCAAGCCAGGCTTAATGTAGACCGGGCTGTAGCCTGGCCCATTTACACCCCTAGGTCTCATCATTCATTTATAGAATTCTTTTAATTCTTTCCTAAACAATAAGGAATAATATAATAACATAATTAATTTTTATTCGTTTTTTAAAATAATAGAAATATTATACATATAACTAAGTTACAAAATTTTCGCCGGACTATTATACGCAAAACATTACACAATAATATAAAGGATATTACAATTAATAAACTTTATGTTGTTTTATTTAATACTTATGGATATTAAATGGATATAAATTTTTTTTAGCTGTCTACATTAACCATGAAATATCTAACAATACAAAAATTTTATCTTGTGACCTAATTATTGGTACTTAAATATCATGTCGGTTCTATCACTCACTAATATATCAAACCTACTTAGGACATTATATTTATATGTGGCAACCACAAAGGTCAATTCTGAATTGCCGTAGAAGCACGTAGCAAATGATAAAGACATATCAACTGCCAGAACAAATTATAAAATTGAGTGTTAATTTACAAGAAGAAAGGTAATTATTTAAAAAATAATTATTTATTGCTTGTAATTACTTTATTATGTGAATTTTAAAATCTCAAATAATTATAAAAATTAATTCATGGGATATATATATATATATATATATATATATATATATATATATATATATATATATATATATATATATTGTGACAATATTTTAAGAAATTGGCTTTAATATTTCTACAGTGAATGTAGATAAATTATCTATATTCGGTCCCAAAACGATATTATTTTGGATTAAAAAATTTAAAAATTATAATAAAAAAGACTATTATAATCCTGAAATAAATTATAATTATAAAAATACATTAATTTTTGCCTAAAAATAATTTTATTTTCGGTTTAATGTAGATAAATTATTTATATTGATTATAGAAAAAGAGAACCCAAAAAATTATACATAAAATAATTTTCTCTATACCCAGTTACCCACTATAGCCTAAGAAATTGAATTTATTGGCTAACTTTCATATTCTTTGCATGCGTATTTAATGCTGATTTTCGCTAAATTCATGGTAATTTTGTGTGTTCTGAACGAAGTACAAGCTATGTTGCACCCACATTCACTCGGGACACGGATTACAATACGACACTTCGACACATTAATTTTAAAAAATGTCAAATTTTGAGATATTAGGACACGTTTTGATATTATATAATATTTTTAATTTATGTAGTGTATATTATATTTAATATTCAATAATTTAACAGAAAACTAAAACTAAACTTATAATACCCAACAATTTTGCAAAGAAACATAAGATATCTCAAATGTTTATATTAAACTCAATAAAATAGTAATCGTAATCCAACGAATCTAATAGTTTGAACTCAAAATGCAACTCAACGTAACCTTTGAACTTTTTTTTGAGTCTTTGCAATGAATATTAGAGTGTCAAGAAGTATCAAAGTATCCGTGAATATTAAAAAATATCGGATACGATGAATTTTGAAATATTGATACTTTATAGATTACAGATATATATCCTGAGATTCAGCACGTAAAAGATGGTATCAGAACTTCATAAGCTGGTACTCATTATTGGATACACGTGGTAGCTACCGATGGTGGGGCCAACAAGAGCAATTGCTCTCAATCTCATATAAACTTTGAAAAATATATTTCTAAATATATTTCTAATTTTATAATTATCTCATGCGTATACAAAATGTAAATATGATTATTTTTTTTCTCTTTCTTCTTTATAATAGATTTTATCCATTTTTTTTGTGTTACATCAAATAAAAATATTTTATACAACAAAAAATATATTCCACATAAACTTTTATCCTAAACCCTTGAGACATAAAAGAAATATAATATACTATAAGTCTTCCTCCCTCAACTTCTGCCTTTCAATTTTTAATGTTATTATTTCTCTTATAAAAAGAAAATTGGGAGGATTCTTCAAATCTATTTATGAATTTATTCTTCATCCCTTCTCATAAAATTTTCTAGCTCCGCCAATACATTCTCCTCTCTCTTTCCGGTTAGTTTTACCTAGGTTAGGGAGATAGCTATTGCTTTTCAATAAGAAATTGAATTTATGTCCCTCATATTTTATTTAAACTTAAGCTTCCACTGAGTTAAATCTCAAGAAACGAAGTTCCATGTTAGTTTAGGTGCATGCAGTTCAATAAATACTAAATAGAAACTTTCAGTAACTACTCTTCTGTCTGTTTCTGCCTCTCAGGCTAAACTTTCATCATGCACCTTTGTAGTATGACAAGAATTTAGGAGTTATACTTAAGCTCAGCATAGTATATACTTAACTTATGTAATTTAGGCTTAGCAATTTATAATTTTATAGGATCACAATGTAATAAAACAAAACAATATCTAAATCATAAAATTCTTTTATTCATAATTTGGAGTACAAAAGCACCAATTTCTGTTTTTTTGCTTCACACTCCATACATTTATGATGCTCTTGTCTCGGCCATAGCATTGTAAATAAAGGGTTGAAATGAAGAAGACAAGCGGTAACTACACCTCTTATTTAGCATATCCTTCATGTACGACCTCTTACATGCTTTAGAGACGGGTTCTATCATCTGCTGGAGGGTAGTGACCATAAGGTGGCTTCTCATGTGGAGGCTTGTAAACTGGTGGCTTCTCAACTGGTGGCTTATAAACTGGTGGCTTCTCAGTTGGTGGCTTATAAACAGGTGGTATTTCAGTTGGTGGCTTATAAACTGGTGGCTTCTCATATGAAGGCTTGTAAACTGGTGGCTTCTCAACCGGTGGTTTATAAACAGGTGGCTTCTCAACTGGTGGCTTATAAACTGGTGGTTTTTCAACTGGTGGCTTGTACACAGGGGTTTTTTCATAGTTGGCTAGGCCTTGAGGGGTGAGAATGAGTGCTGCAAGTAGCAACACTAAGAACCTTAAGGAAGAGCCCATGTTCCTGATTTTTGAGTTGCTGTGAAAAACATAGAATAATGATAAGTTTTTATACTAGTTAGAGGCCTTAGTGAAAGGACTGATGGGTGCAAGTCTCAATCTTGAATAATCATGATTTGGTGGAGCTCTTGTATATAAAGTCAGAAGTTGGTGTGGTTTTTCAACATCGATATAACCGATTATGTCTTCTTATAGCTGCCAAGTTGGAAATTATGTGGGAACTCGACAATATCAGCATTAATAGTGTCAATATATTTCAATGCACCGTACGTCATCTTGTCTTCTTTGGAAGTGAGTTGAAGTTTTCAGCATAATTGAAATTGCCATATGAATTCAGACCAAATAATTTCATCGTTTTCCACCACATCGCATCCTACTGATTCTAGCTTGAGAGAGTAGTAGCTAGTAGCAACTAAAACATAATTTATGAGATTCACACGTCAAAATGTATGTTGGGTTGATTTGTGAGGCAAAACGGGTTGTGTATGATTTGGATATATGACAAATTATTATCGTGTCGTGTCACATATATATTCATTCAAATGATCCGCATGTTAACCCCAATTTTGTTAAAAAAAATGTTAAAATTTAGTATTTTTGCATAATTCGTTGTGGATCAGGGATCAATTCATGGGAGATCAATTTATGGGAGATCAATATATGGGAGATCAAGTTTGTACTCAATTTTTTTATATTGATTAAAATTTTTAATTTTTAAAATGGACATTAATTAAATTATTTAATATAATTTTAACATTAATTATTATTTTATATTATAAAAAATTAAATTTACGTCAAAAAAAAAAATCAACTCACTCGCATAACTTTAGGGGATAAATTTGAACCTTTATTTTAAAAGTATCCCTATGTTTTTTAGCTGAAAGAAATAAAAATAACTCTTTAAACCAATAATTTATCAGGGGAAAAAATAATCATGGTCCCTCTAGAAATACATGATGCTTAGCTGATGTGGTAGGGCTTTGTGGCCTAGCTGATGCTTAGAATATAGAATTGGTGTCTGACAAAAGATGAAAAACAACAAAGTGTGAGCAAAAGTAGCAACAATTAAATCTGCCTTTTATTCATAGGCAGTGCGCCTGAGTTTCTAAATTGTAGTAGCTGAAATGACCGCATGCACATGCTTAATGAGTGTCGTTGGACGTCACTCAGATAACAAAAAAAAAAAAAAAAAACCAGTGCCGATGTGGGGTGGGGGCCGTGACACTGCGTCCGAAAAAAAAAAAAACATCGCATGAGGGTCGCAGGAGACTGTGGGCGTCATTTAGAGTCGCTGGGTCCCCTTGCGACACTTAAAGACCCCCAATCGGTAATTTCTTCCATCCAGTATCAAATTTGTAAATTTAAATGGGAATAATCCCCAACTAATCAAAGAGCCGGTCTAAGTTCTCTACGTGGTCCACTTTCATCGGACGAAATGTTCAAATTATAATATAAGGAGATTATATTTATAATTTCTTTTTTTTTTTACAATCATTTTATGGTTGTTGAATCAAAATTAAATTAATATTTATAAAAAATTATTAAATAAGAATCGTTGATTTAATTTTGATTCAACATCACAAAATAATTATAAGAGATTATAAAAAAAAAATTGTAAGAATAACTTTTTCTACGTGTTAGTTTGCCAGGATGTACATTACCTCATTTGTATCAATTTGTCGCTTTATATTTATTACATGGCTTATAGAATAGTCGATTACTTACCGTGATAATTAATTATTATTACCAAAACTTAGTTTTAGTTTTAGCTTTTGTATAAAAATTAATAACTTAGATAATCAATTATCTAGACAAATTAAGAGTAAAGCTGCTATTTTTCTTAAAAAATAATTAATTATTCGTTTTAATAATTGATTTTTTAATCAAATAGAAAATTCCCAACTTCATATTAATCTATTATCACCTGTTATGATAATTGATTATCTTGTTCCAATTTTTTTTTAATTTCTGGAACTTTAACTAATCAATTATTTACCGTTTTTCAAATTTCAAAATTTAAATAGTTCCACATGTATATAATGTATGTGATTCAATTTTTATCCAATATTGGTAAAACCTCATTCTTTCATTTTGTCCACGTCGAAAAATTATTGTTCTTGCTCTGTTCCTTTTTCCTATAAACACGGGCTTGATTTATTCCAAGAAAAATAGAAACAAATACTATTACATGGGCTTATTATTAACTTTTGGGCCACAGTTGCTTTTAGTAAAAACAATTCTCTCTTCGTGAATTAATGCACACATTATTATATACGGTGTCTTTAGACATCTTGGTGGCTTTACTCTTTATCATACTTTTTTCTCTTCAATATATTTTGTTTATTTGTTCATTAATTCCGATGTTCAATTTAGTTTACATTTATAAACTAGCAAGTTAATTGTTATAGTTATCTATTTTGGATTGGTCACACATGCCCATCTTATAAACCGGCCACAAAATCCATTTCTGTCTATGTGACAGAGATGTCTAGTCTAGGGTTAGTAGATCAATATGGAATTTTGTGCTCTTTCTAAGTATCTATGAATTAGATACCTTGGGGGTAGCGAATCATCGTACACAAAAGATTTTAGCCAATGAGGTGGTGTGTGTGCATAGTGACAACATAATAGTAAAAGAGAGGGAAAGAGTGGTCCATACATATGGTCTTTACCTCTTATTTATAGAGTTTACCTTTAGAGTTTGAACAATCTGGACCCTTTGCTTCATGGGCCCAACTGTTTTCTTACTTAGTTGTCGAATATCTGCCTTTTATTGGACCTTTCAGGCATATGAGCCTTATGTATATCCATAACAGTTACCCTCCAGTTCGGCAGCTTGGTTGTCCAAGTTGCTAGGGTGTACGTATTTTGCAAACAATTTTTCCTGCTTGGCTTTTGGTTTTATTCAGGAATAAAACTCTTTTAGCCGCATCCTTTCTTTGACCTTGCTGGTTGAAAGGCTTTGTTTCCGTCTTTGTATATTTTATCCCGAGTTCAGTACCATCCATTTTTGGACTTTGCTGAACCGGGATGAGGTTTGAGCTGAGGCGTAAATGCAGCTTTAGGTTCCTGATCATTGCGAAATATTGAAAGGCATGGGAAAATTATTCTTCCTCTACCATCCTTCAAACCGAGGTATAGATATTACCCTTACTTCACTCCTCTACCAATATCAAATCTTCACATCCCTGTTCATCAGACTCAATTTTCTCCCTGAGTCGTTATTTCTTCCAAGTAATGATAACTGCTTTCTACGTGGCATTTTTTCATAGGTTTGATGTGCGTTGTTATCCCTTCCACGCCGTTTGCATTTAATGCATACTGTCAAGACATCCCTCTTCCGTCTTGTCTTCTACACGATATTACAACACTGCACCTGCCATTTCGCTTTGTGGGCTTAAACCGTTTAACTTTGTTGCTCATTTCATTTTATCCTCATTCTCCTAACTTGCTTTGCATTTACTTGCGAACATCCTTGTTTCTGTGTGCTCTTGCTTCTGAGTGTTCTTGTTTCTTCATCATTTTTCTACCTTTCTTTGTTTTCTCTATCAGGTATGTTAATGATCGCAATGTTGATACCTTTTACATATTCTAGCGTATTTCTGTATTGCAAGCTTTCAATATATTATTGCAATGTTGTTCTCTGCATGCTTTTTGTTCTTGCTGGTTTCCTTTTCACGAATTCTAACTTTTATCTTGAACGTCATCTTTCGTGTTATTTTCTATGTATACCTCTTAGGTTTCATAATTGCATTTTTTTGTCTGGCTTTTTGTAAATGTGTTTGATCTGGGTTTTCAACGTGACCCATTCCTATTTCCCTTTTGAAATCCTCTGTTAGTATGAGTGAGGGAAGATTCAGTGGATGGGGGAAACCAACTTGCCTCCGTGGCTTTGGCCAAAGTGATGAAATTGATGAGGAAGAGGAGAGATTCATCCAGAGTCTTTCTCCAGGTCTGAGGCATTGGATTTTTGGGAGACCTCAGACCGAAGAAGAGAAACAAGCAGCATTATTAGGTAGATATCGAGGAGGTAGAAGTAGAAGGGCGTCATCATCTTGATCTCCATCAACCTGGGGTCGAGGTCAGAGCTTAGGTCATGGTCTCAGAACCATACTTCATACCAGACGAACTAACGTTGATTTAAACCTAGCCAAACAATCATTCAAACCATCGTCTTCAACACCTTTTATTGCCATCCCTTATGCATACCAGTCCAGAGCAAACATTGCAAAGCCAGTGTCCAGCCCTATCCCAGCTATTCAGACCCCGGATCCCTGTTATCACTGCGTGTATCTTAGTGCTCAGTTCATCGAAAGAGGTAATGACACTATGGCTGATTTCACCTTAGGTAGTTATACTCATCAGCAGAGCATCCCAGCTTCAAATCTTACCTTAAATGATCCTAGACTTCCCATTGATATCTCAGATGATTCTTCAAGTCCTTCCAATAGTAATTTATTTAGTTCAGATACGTGCATTCCTTATTTTAATCTTCCCTTCTTGTTGTTCTAGATTCTTATGGAGTCACCTTCTGCAGAATTAGACGTCGGGGTAACTTCTGTTGAGCTAGGATCAAACCCTGAAATAACCTTTGCCGACCAGGGATCGATCCTTCCCAGCACGGATCTAGTTGACCATTACCCTTGGGTAACCCTGGAAGTCTTGAGTTTCAGATCTGACGTGAAAGCTGAAGACATATATGGGCTTCCCATCGGTAACCCGTTATGTTTTAATATGTTTCTTCTTGCAGAAGATGAACCAGTCTGTTCAGGGAGGAATCCAGAAGAACCCCTCTCTTTTTCCTTTTATTGAGACCTGGTTACCAAGGTTGGCATTCGCTTTCCTTTTTCAGATTTTCGGATAAACTTGCTAAACCATCTTCACCTTGCACCTACCAAAATATTTCCCAATGGTTGGGCATACATTGTTTCTTTTGAGCAATTATGCACATCCTTAAAATTACATCCTTAAAATATTTCCCAAGAACATCACCTTCTTGACTCAGCCGCCTTTAAAGTGAAACTCTCCAAA